GATAGGTATGGGAGTTCTGGGGGGCCTGTGAGGGGGCAGGGGTGTGGATAGGGGGCGGGACAGTCAGGGGACTGGGGGTAGGATAGGAGGTGGGTCCTGGGGGGGCGGTTAGGGGTGGGGGGGCCTAGGCGGGGGTGGTCAGGGGGACAAGGAGTGGGGGGTTTGGATGGGTCAGGGGTTCTGAGGGGGGCAGTCAGGGGATGGGAAGGGGTGGAGGCCAGGCTGTTTGGGGAGGCACAGCCTTCCCTACCCGGCCCTCCATACAGTTTCGGAACCCTGATGTGGCCCTCAGGCCAAAATGTATGCCCACCTCTGTTCTAGATGTCTCCCCCTTCCCAAACTCCACTGGCTCCTAGCATTCCTCTAGAACTGTATGATTCCATCAATTGAAAATTGCTGCTGTTGGCACCACAGGGCAGAAGTGTGATTGGACTACTGACTGATAATAAATCTCCAGGATTCTCCCTCTATGGCCCTGGAAAGGAGGATAGATAAGAGAAAATGAAGTTGTATGCTTAGTATTCAGCACCAAATTTCACTGACTCGTAAAGTTGAGGCTAAAAGAGACCATTAGATCATCTAGTCTGGCAACCCGTATATCACAGACCATAGAATTCACCCACTTATTTAACGCCATAGAAAGCCCAATAAACTTGTGCTAGACTAAAGCAGAGAACTGACTCCCCCGAGCTTCTACAGCAGGTAACATGGCATAGCCACAAATGGAACTCCGATCTCCTGAGTGCTAGGCCAGTGCCCTACCCATGGGAACAAGAGGCCTCTCATCTATATACCATACTGATCAAAACTAGAAAGACTTTCAATCCACGTATCATATAAATAACATTTAGACTGTGTTTGTAAAGGACTTTGGAAGCTGTCTGTGAGAAGTGCCAAAGGGAGGTGAGCATCACCCCCATTTTACAGATGGAGAAACGGAGGCACAGAGAGGTGAAATGACTTGTCTCAGGGCACACAGCAGGTCAGTGACAGAGCTTGCAGGTTACATTTAAAGGCAGCTGAAATAATATTTACCAAAGAAAAGTAAGCTGTATCCAAAGTAATTTGACAAACCAATCAATGGGGAATCAGCTCCTGCTAGAACCGCATCCAGGAGGAAAGCCCATAAATACTTTGTTTTCTTGATTCTCCGTTTAATTGTTGCGAGCCTGACATAACAAACCAGAAACAACCCGTGTTGTTTACATCAACTCTATTTCATCATCTCAGAGAAAGAATGTGTGCCTCATTCCCCAAGGCGTGGTCCCTGGGTCCTCTGCTTATTTACAGGTTACTCTTACCTGGGTATCAGTCACTATGATGTTAGGGTCCCAGCTTACATTGCTTAATTCCTCTGCAGCACTGACTCTTAAAGGCCATAAAACCCAGGATGATTACAGCACCAATGTGATTACTACTAACCCAAAGCAATTCCAGAAGTGTACTCCCCAAGGTTCTGGGATTAAAATCCCTCCTACAACAGCACTGAAAAGCTTTTGACTCTCAGTGGGCTGAAAGGTCTGGGAAAGCCAGACTGCCGTAGTTGATTGTTACATCTGAGAATTCATTCCAACACTCGCTTTGCCATGTAGGCCACAGACATTCAGATTCTGGCTCTGCTAAAGGCAATTTTGGGTCATTCTTGTCCTATCCACCCTGAGATGGGTATTTCTTCATGGCAGTGCACCAAACTGATCTTATACTGCCCAAACAATAAGCTCATATCTGGGTTTTTTTTTTTTTAAATCCTGCCATTGAGGCAAACCAGCTTTTAAAAGCACCTGCTCCAAATGAGCCATTAAATGACCAATAATAATCAGCAATTTGACTCAGGCTTCATCAGTGCTATTTCACTATAATCTCTTTTCTGCCGACTTAATGGTTATGGGGTGTTTTACAGAGAAATGCAGCAAAAGGGACAGAATAAACTGTTTGTTTCTAAGCTAGGCCCCAGTTCTGAAATCACGATAGCATACCTGTGTGCCCTTGCAGAGTCACCACTGACTTCAGTAGGCTTCATGCAGGCACAGGTACACATGTGGGTATCTCCAATTGCAGACGCTAGTATCCTGCTTTCCTTTTGATATCCCCACTCTGTTTTCTTCCTTTCATTTTGTGTCTACATTTCTTGCACTGAAAAGCTATTCCAACAAGCGTGAGCTGCACCTCTCAGTATATTCTCCCTCTTTCTCGTCAGGGACTGACCAGTCTTTGCCCATTCCTCTCTCCCTCCTCCTCCTCGTCTGCATAACAGAGTTCATTACTTTGGTCCCAGTTCTATGAACAGCTGCACATGTAATTTTGCACACTTGAGTAGTCCCATTTACTCACCTGCATACATGTTTGCAGGATTGGCGCCTTAGTTAACTAAGCAGGTACTTTTCAATAACAGATACCCTCCTCAAAACATACTTTCCTTCGAGAATCTAACCATTAGTAATCTCAAGCCTTGACTTATCAGGGTAGATACAATATGTTGTCACCTCATTCTGAGGAATCATTTCACTCCAGCTGAAACCAGAACTAGCTACAAGATCATTTAAGTAACTACATGATTTTAACTTCATACATACAAATCATTTGGGTTTCCCATCTAGTACCTTCTGAATTTGTATAAAATTAAAAACAAAGAAATGCATGGGCTTTTTGTTGTGACCTTGATTTTTGCTGCATTCCTGAAATGGTTCCCTTTCAAAAGATTCACTAAAGCATTATGTGGTCCCACTTCTCAAACAAAACTAAAATTTGCTTATTAAATTTTGCTGGGTTTGATATATAAAAGAGACACAAGAAGTTTAAGCACTGAATTTAGGTTGCAGGGAAAAGATTTTTCAGAATCTATTGATATAATTTTCATAAAATTGTTTTTAAATTATACAAGAGTTGCTATTTCTACAAACATTGCACAAAAATGCTAATGCATGAAACAAAGAAACAGAAAAATGAAATTGACTGTTGGTCTATTTCATCACCTAAAATTAAGATAATGCACCATTTACAAACCTTAAATGAGGTGTCCGTGTTTTCCTATTTTAAATGATGTAGGGTGTTACCTGTGACCGAGATAAAGAAGCCTGGTTGTTTTTTAAAATAAATTTGTGATTTTTAATCCATGCCCTTTAAATATTAAGTGCTCATGGAGTCTACTGTTGTGATAGCAACAATATATTTGTTCTATCGATTTTCATAAGTAAACAGACTTCCCACAGCTATTGTACCTGGTCTCATTTAACCATTACATTCAATAATGGAGCCAGTCTCACAGTTATGTGACCCATATGGTAGCAGCGAGTCCCCTTTCATTGAGAGAGGAAGGAGGGGAAGATTTTTGTACCCAAAGAGAGGAGCAGGAGGGAAAGCTTCCTCATCCCACACCCCCATCTTCTCTGAACGTTCAGCCAATACCACACTTGCCATGGTCTCTAAACTGCTCCCGGGCTCATAGCAGCTTGGATTTTTTCCCCCAGCAATTGCCTTGTTTTTTATTTGGGATTTGCTGTAAACAGCAGAAACGTTACTCAAGCACCTGAAGGGAATCACCATAAAAATAAGTTCTTATTCCCTCTCCCCCAAGGAGGAGGAGAGAGACTCCAACAACTACTCATTTGTTGGTAAGAGATTTTTTAAGAACAAAACTGGCCAAAGCCATGAAATCAGATATGCTTCTCGGTAAGGTTCCGAGTATATAGTAGTACCTCAGAGATATGAACACCAAAGTTACGAACTGATTAGTCAACCACACACCTCATTTGGAACTGCAAGTATGCAATCAGGCAGCAGCATAGATGAAAAGCAAATACAGTACTGTGTTATATGTAAACTACTAAAAAAAAGGAAAGTTTAAAAAAGATTTGACAAGGTAAGGAAACTGTTTCTATGCTTGTTTCATTTAAATTAAGATGGTTAAAAGTAGCATTTTTCTTCTGCATAGTAAAGTTTCAAAGCTGTATTAAGTCAATGTTCAGTTGTAAACTTTTGAATGTTTTGTTCAGGGTTACGAACAGCCTCCATTCTTAAGGTGTTTATAATGAGGTTCCACTGTATATTCATTCTGGATGATATTTCTGTTCCACCTGCATCAAAACAGGAGTTGCAACACTTTGATAAATAGGTTGAGAGATTCTCTCCTTTAACTCCAATGCCCAGTCAAGCAAGCCTTCAAACCAAGCTGGGAAACAATGTTTAAAGGCACCAGGATCCTGTTACAGCAATGAGGTCTGTATTAGTATCTATGTAGACACACTGAACTAGCTAATCCATTTTAACACGGTTTAGCTAGGACACTATTTGAACATGATTTGGTCCCAGACATATTGGTCAATCAAAGCATGCCAAAAACTAGTTTATTTAGAACAGTGTTTCTTAACTCAGCTTGAGGTCCAAGGTGGTCAAGATCTGGCACTTCACATTCTGTCATAATTCTCATTGATACTTCCTACAGCCAAATCTCTTAGCGAATCACATTACAACAGTAGGTTGGCAGCAGCAAAACAGGGCTATCAAGAGCTGTGGGATATCAAAACTCTAGACTTCTGTGCACTAGGATTGTACCCAAGAATGTCTTCACTTGAAATTTTGGTCTGAGAGGAAGAAGGAAAATAAACAGACGATGGGGAAATAAGTGAAGGGAAGTGCAAGAGAAGAAAACAGGGGAAGACTGGAGGAGGTGAGAAAAAGTGACTGTCATCTTCTGTTCAATTAAGAAGATTCCCAAAGAAAACCCAGTGAAAGCAGCCTCCTCATTCTGCCAGCAACACCTACCAAGCAAGCATTGAATTTTCCAGGGCAGCATCTCCCCTGGGGGATGCTCCTACAAAGCTTTTCTTTGACATCAACATGTTTCTGGTCTTGAGACTAGAAATCAGCACGAGTTAGTCCTCACACATAGGCAAGATTAGGTTGCCCTTGCCACCGCCAAAGAGAACATTAAAGAACATGAGCATGAAAGAGCTATATACATTTTTAATGTGGAAGATGCCCAATCAAAGGCTTCACTCCCTCTTCCCATTCAATGAAGAAATGTTCACATCCCTCATCTCTACCCCAATATTACTTTTTTCTAGTTCTCTCTATTTAAAAGGATGTCACTTGAGGTACTGAAAGAGTCAGGATGAAAACTCACATTGCATAGAGGACAGTAATAAAAAACATCACAGTCAGTTCTATGGGAATGGAAGGGGAGAGGAAAGGAGGAGATGATGGGTTTAAAGAGGTTCTATGTATCAGTAAAGAGGAGTAATCCAAGGTGCACAGACTTTTCCCAGATAGCAATGTTGGCAGTTTGCTAGGAAGCTAGGGGCCACACCAAATCTGGATATAGCGGAGCAGACTGCAGCCACTGCACCACAGACAGGATGGTGCAGTCAGCTAGAGCTGCAGATCTCTATACCCGATGTTCGATATTGATTGAATTGGCCGTTGCACAGAACAAGATGGAGCAGTGCATTCTGAGATACGTAGGTCCTCTGAGCTGCA